TGCCAACTCTTCAGAAAATAGCGTCTAAGAAAAAAAAAAAAAAAAAGCTCTTAATTTATGATTCTGGTCTTTTCTTGAAGGCATTTTTGTCCATTCTTTAGAAAAGACAGGCCTAGGACAGTCTGCTCGGACATACTTCATAGGAGAGATCTCTAATTCTGGTAGACACCCCTCATAATGAACAATCAACACTCTTACCGTTCTCCAAAACATTTTTTTTCCCTTGCCCTTTTATGTGAAAATACTGAGAAACCTTCTAGATAGTGATCATCCAACACAAATTTGTTTAAAAATACCATCTGATTTTTCTGGGAAATTCGCACATTAATGATACTAACGTGATTCCAACTTATACAAGAATTACTTCTTTCTTGTTCTTGATTAATGTACTACAAAAAAAATATGTGATATAAAACTGGGGTAGCTTTGGAGCATTGGTATACGGTGGGAGTGAGAATTACACTGATCCGAGTGCAATTAAATGGCATAGAATTCAGATACTTTTTTTCACATGTTCGATTTCCTTTTGAAAAATGTGACTTCCTAACACTATATGCCCTCTTCATTCTCAGTCCTTCCTTGTAAAGTCCTGGGGAAAAGAGAACAATCCAAATTCTGTGCTCATGTCTTTTGGGGGCATTTAATTTGCATGCCTATTATACCGATTTGGAAACCTGAACTCAAAAGGCTCTAGTACCCCTAAAGACAGTCTCCTGAACTATTACTGTTTTGTTTTGGCTTTTTTTTTCCTCTCTAGGATTAGAAAACCTTCTGAACCTCATAACCAGAGTTTGGATGAGGGCAGCTTGCACTTTTCACAGGTGTTCTTGTCTGTGACAAAAGACAAATTAAGTCTCCAAAATACTCATCTGCTAGCTTTTTCAGATGACTTCTATTTCAAGGTCTTCTCTCTCTAATTAGCCTCCCCAAATGGACTGTTTAATGCATAACTAATCTTGAACTTGCTCTTTTCTCTGACTGAAGAGAAAATTGCACTTCATTTTGTTGAGCTATGGTGCTTATGTTGCACATTTATCAGCAAGTGATATTTTAGAATTCTAGATGGCAGCTCTGAGTTTCCTCATTGGCAATATTAGACTGGGAATTACTAATGATGAATATATAAGCCCTCTTTAATATACAGTCTAATCAAAATTGTTCTAAATATTTAGCTTCTTAAATTCAAATTATTTTCCTAAGTATATTAGTCTAATGTGAAGAAACGTTCCTTTTATGGTCTAGAGGAAAGTTGAAACATTTATAACGTTTGTCATGTGGCCAGATAGATCACTGATAACAATATAATGCAGTCTGTTGATTTTAATATCTTCCTAGCTCTGCATCTACGTTATTTTAATCTATTTCTATTAGTTTCTTTTCAACAGTAAATAAAATACTTCAAAAAAAAAAATCTTAGTCTGAAAAAAAATGGCCATGCTTGCTTTGTGTTGTTTTACCAAAGTCATTTTTTATTTTTAATTTTTTTTTCCAAAGTCATTTTTTAAAGTTTGCTTTTGTTTGTTCTTTGACTGCAAGTAAAGAAGTGGAAAAAAATACGTACATGCAAGCTTGAAATACACTGGCAAATAGAGTTCACAGCATGATCCCTTCTAATGCTTGATACCACACTTCTGTAGGAAACAAACAACAGGGTCTCTCTGTGCCTACAAGCAGGCAGAGTTCCCTTGAAGTGAACAAGACTCTGTGGAAGGACTGCAGGGCAAGTACTTAGGGGACCAAGAGCCCAGGGTATTGGAAAAACTTCCCTAATGTTCCTTTCTGAAAACTGTAACTCCGGGCACCTGGGTGGCTCAGTTGGTTAAGTGTCTGCCTTCGGCTCGGGTCATGATCCCGGGGTCCTGGGATCGAGTCCCTCATCCGGCTCCTTGCTCAGCGGAGAACCTGCTTCTCCCACTCCCTCTGCCTACTTGTGCTCTCTCTGTCAAATAAATAAAATCTTTAAATTTTTTTTTCAATTAAAAATACATAAATAAAAGCTATAACTCTTACCTTTTAATAGGAGCCTTGAATTGAATAGTCAGTAGGAACAAAACCTAAAAATCCTCAGGTCTAAGGGTAGGGAGATATCAACCAAGGAAATATCAAACTGGGGAGAGTCACAGAATCAAAGAATGAATAATGGTACAAAATAGGCGCTGTGCAGTTGACTTCACAGGAAAAGGCACTTAAGAGGTGGAAGAGGGGAGGAGAAGGTCCCAAACATAAGGAAGCAGGAGGATAAACCCTCAGAGGTTATGTCTTCACCGCACTATACCCCAGTTGCACAGATCTGTTGCCAACTGAACACCACAGAAAGATAAAATGGGACTCAGTCTCGGCTGAGTCTGAGCTCTAGGACGATAGCTGGAAACTGTTCTCAGATTCCAAAATTAAGATTTGCCACAGCGCTAAGTCTCAACCCTTCCCACACCCTGTGCCTTCTCCAACCCCAGTTGGGAGAGTGATCAGTGTTGCTTTCTGCTGTCTGCTGTTGCTGTGTTTCATTTCTCCAAGTCTAGTGAGGGGGCTGAAAGTAGACCACAAGTCGAAGCTTCAGTGTGATCTCCAACACCAAGCTAGCACACAACTAGCGCCAGGGAAATCGACGAGTTAACTATGTGGCTGGTGCCACAGGTGGCTAAAGGAAAAATGGGCTGTGTTTTGGGAAGATGGTGCACTCAAGGATGGAGATGCACACAAGATACCTAGGGGGTAGGGGAAGGAAGCCATAATGATTAACAAAAGCATGTGCCCATATGGAGGAAAAGGTTGGTGAGAGATTCCCAGCAATGGATGATCTCAAAGAACCCAGGAAAATGTTCCAGGACAAAGTAAACTTTAAATGTCTACCACAGATTAATGCCAGTTCTGGCCTCTCTTCCTTCCCTCTTGTCCGAGAGTTGGGGAGGAGGGCAGAGAAGAGCTTGCAGAGTAAGGGAGCCAATCACATCTTGCTCACCTCCTCTTGGGCCCTGCCAGGCCAAAGCTGGAAGAGGGGAGAATATAACTTTCAATAAACTTTGAAGTTTTGACTGGACAGACATCCAGGTGGCAGAATTGACACTACTCTGGAAGTGAAAGGCTATTTTATTTTCTGATGTGTGATTTCATCAGGGGACAGAAAAGAGCCAGTCCCTGAAGTAGGTTTGCTGCAGTAGTTGTAAGAGAAAAAAATTTTTTTCAGTTACTTTATGACTGTCCCTTAAAAGTCTCATTTGTTCAATGACAATGATAACATAAAAATGCACATAAACATATAAACAGGTAGGCAAAAGCAGGTCGTAGAACAACTCTAGAAATAAGCAAGCATTCCACGGAGAAGAGGAATTAGGCAAGACTGAATATCTGCTGGAGACATAAAGACAAAAATCTGCATTGTATTTAGGACAATAGAAGAATGGAACTAGGGATGCCTGGGTGGCTCAGTTGGTTAAGCGTCTGCCTTCAGCTCAGGTCATGATCCCAGGGTCCTGGGACTGAGCCCCACATGGGGCTCGTTTCTCAGCGGGGAGCCTGCTTCTCCCTCTGCCTGCCAGTCCCCCTGCTTGTTCTTTCTCTCTCACTCTCTCTCTGACAAACAAATAAAATATAAAAAAAAAAGAAGAAGGATTGAACCATTGGGGCCTCTGATGACAGCAAATGGTTCACAGCAACTGTGCCTTTGAAAAGAAATCATCTCTGGGCTGAAAGCCTAACCTCCTTTCTCAACCTCCAGTGGATGACTGGTCTTGGTTCTGGGTCCACCTGTACCTCCCATATAATGCAGGCAATCACCTTCCCAGTACAAAGCAGAGTTGAATATGGGTTTGGATAAGAAGTCCGTTCTTCTGGAACCTCATCACTGGAATGTGCCGATCATCGAAATTCTTATATCACTGGACTGAGACTGTAACTCCTAGCTAACAGAGTTTACCGACCTAGTCAGATCCACACGAACGATGACCATATGAACAACAGCTTTAGGAGAGTCATGGAGGTGGAGTGTGGGAGAGAAAGGAGCATCATGTGACTACAAGCCAAGATCAACCAGCCTGGTGTATCTCATGCAATGATCCCCACCGTCTCTCCCTCCTCTTTCATCATACTGTGTATAGAAACTGACTCCTTGCATGAATGAACTGTCAACAAGCATTATTAGATACCATCTTGGCTCTTTCACTAACAGGTGGAATGATCCAGACCAACCCATTTGCTTTTCACCTCAGTTTCCTCATCTGCTAAATGAGGGGTTGGATAGATCAGTGGCGTGAGGGGCATAAAGCAAATCTGCTATATAAACTGCAGACCCCAAGCCCATCCCTAGTGATTTGTTGTTCAGTAGATAAAGGGTAGGGCCAAAGAATTTGCATTTGAACACATTCAAGGGGATTCCAATGCAGATGATCCAGAGAAACTTTAAAATACATGACCTCTAAGGTCTCTTACAAGTTACCCTCTTCTACTCAATATTTATTGAGCCTTCACAGAATGCACCATGCCTTCAAAAACCAAATGTGCTCAAGTAACATCTATTTTCATTTGAAATCCATATTCACTGGGTACTGGGTTGGACAACAAGGATTCCAGTCATCATGGTACATCACGGCATGCTGCTGGCAGCACATTGATTGGTACACTCACTTTTTCACTGGTACAGGTTAACTACATGGTTAAACTAAAAGATCTCCCTTAACCATGAGATGTTATGATTCTATCATATCCTTAGGTCAACCATTAGGAGTGGCTAATTTTTCTCTATTATTTAAGACTAAACATACATTTACTCCTCCAGAACTCTTCCAAGAAGTTCTCTGTGGGGTTAAGAATGCTGCTGTAGAGGGTTCAAAATAACCACACTCTGAGTAAAAATAAACTTTCTCGATCCTCTAATTATTTGCTATCTAAAAATGCCTCCATCCTAGAGAGTTCAAAATCTGATCTTCCTCTCAGTATTGTCCTGCCCTCTTTCCTGCTCAAGTTGGCATCTGGACATAAAGGTACACCTGTGTGTGACCACATACCAGAAAAGAAGTGTCATTAGGGTCATGTGCCATCCCCTGGATCCTTGCTGGTCTCTGATGTGCTGCCACTTGTTTGGTCTGTCGCCCATGTGACAGTAGTTGCATCCATTGAAGTATGCTTCTCCTCATCTGGTTCCTTCAAATGCCACATGGGCACCCTCTGCTGAGGTCACAGCCTTAGTTGTAAGGTCACACATGCAATGCCTTCTTTCTGATGCTCGGGCTCTTCTGTCCACCGCTTCTTTCCTTTCCCATCTCTGTCAAGGATAAGGCATATGGTAGGATATGAAGAAATGGGGTGATATCTAAAGCTCAGCCCCCTAGACACCTCCCTCAGCCATTTCTAAAATCCTGTCTGGCACCACGTTAGACGTAGTGTCATGCCAACTGTGGGGAGGCTCTGAAATATATGCTAGGATAAACCCACTGTTCTGGAACATGTTTCCACCACAGAATCCAACAAAGTACAACCCCAAGGGGGGCCAGACTGCTGGGATATTCATGTCTAATGACATGTATTTCTTCTTTCTCCTCCCAGCCACCTCCTCTCAGAAATATGAAGGGTTTTCCCTGTTCCTCCAAGGTAGAAATGGCCCTTAAAGCATATATCAGTCCTCTACACTATGGCTTATAATAAAATTCAGTGACCCAGATTCTCTAGGCTTAGCATTCGATTTATAAAAGGAATTTTGGCAAATTTAAACAACATTTTCCCCCTCTCAACAAAGCCTGGATTTCAATACTACAGTCCCACTGTGAGTTTTTAAAAATATGTTTTCCCACTGAAGGCCAAGAAATGACTTCTCTGTTCCAACCTCCTGTGAAATGATGAAGCCCATTGATTTAATAAGTGCCAAGCCACACAGCAATATGACTTCTAGGAATGAAAAAAAGTCAGTTTAATGTTTGCATAAATATTTTTTCCTGTAAAAACAATAATCTAGATAGATTGCCTCTCAGAAACAGGAAGCTAGGAAGAAAATAATTTATGCAAGTGTAAGCATTGCACCTAGGGCCTTAGATGGCAAACTTAAGACCAAACATTGTTGAGTTTCTCTACTTCAGGGTCTCTTGCAGATGCAAGAATCATAGAAACATACAGAGTGCAGTACTCTAGGTATCATTACTGAGAAAACTGGTACAATGAGAGATGACTTCTTTCAAGAAACTAACAAGATGAGTAGTATCTACTCTTTGACAACATGGCCCCAAACTAGCACTCCAGCTTTATATCCCACTCTGCACCTGAGTCAACCTTCTCTCTCAATGAAGCCAGCCAGTCCACAGACCTTCCGATCCACTGATTGCATTCCTGTATCTGTGTCTTTGCTCTCACAGTTAGGGCTTTAAAGAGTAGTCAGCAAATCCGTTAGGATTAAGTGAATATCAAAAATCTTGTCTCCTGCTTATATTTTCATCAAACGAGGTAATCTTGTGTTGTTACAAGGATGGAAGTACCATATTTAGATTCCTCTTACCAAAAAAAGGGGGGGGTACTATAGCAGTATCTTATTTTGAGGGAACAAGAGATGATGTCCAATTTCCCTTTGCTATAATTTGTCTATTCTTTTTGAAAGGACTTCTGAGTGGGAGCCATGAAGCTGAGTCTGGCTCTGAGAAGAGAGAAAAATGGGAGAACAAACACTGAGCAGAAAGCAGGGAGACCACGGTTGTTACCATAGTGATGAACATCCAGTCCGGATGGTGCTGTTGCCGGCTTCTGCTAGTGAGTGGGAGAAAACCACCTTCCTTCTGGACTAGTGTAGCTGAGGACAGAAAAATCTGAGGTGACCAATTTTAACTCTCTACTTGAGCCAATGTTTATTAAGCACCTAAGTGGTTGGCAATGTGCCGGAGGGTTTAATGTATGCAAACCCAGAAAGTTAGGGACTAACATCCCCATTTTAAATATGAAGAAAGCTAGGTTTCAAGAGAGTAAATAATTTGTTATTTAATGAACTAGCTAGTAAAAGGGCAGGGCCAAGATTTAAATCCAAATCGTTAACTTAATTCAATCTAGTTTATTTCCACTGTAAACGTGTTTTCACCAAGCCACAACTATGCCTTTCAAATGACTTGGCAGGAAAATTGTATCCCTTTGACTAATGAAAACTTAGGGGACTCTATGGTGGTTACTCCAAGCTTTGACATTTTATAGTTTTCCCTGTCTTGCAAGTTTTATAGAAAAATAATGTATATTAAAGCTTTCTTTCCTTCATTTATAAACTGAGTTGGTTTTCTGATAACAGCTTAATTAATTAAGAAGTGATCCTAAATGACAGCTTTCAGTGTATTTTGCATTAATGTGACAGCAATCAACAGTTTACTGACTGTAAACATTGTTTCCTAGATAGACAAAGGTCATGGAATGCTCTCATACAGTCTTTTTCTTCCAAAAGCAGAAGTACCTTTGAATTTTTAACAATAATGCCATATTACCAGTGAACACAAGAAATAATATCAAAAAATTTAAGACATCCATAGTTCTATTCCTATTCCCATTCCTATTCTATGACAGTAACTGTTAGTATTTGTCCTTTCTGAAGATTCATGCAGAGTGTAATAGTTAAGAGCATGGATTCACATTCCAGCTTTGCCACTTACTAGCTGTGTGACAAGGCAAATTAACTTCAGCCCTCAATATTTTATCTGTAAAACAGGAATAATAATACTACCTACCACATGTGGCTCTTATATGGAAAAAAAATGAGATAAATTATGCTAAGTGCTGATCACAGTACTTGGCACGCCCTAGCACTTTATAAATCATTGCATAAAAATGTATATATCCATCTTTATATATATTGTTTACATAAATGGATCATGTTATACATATTGAGCTATAATTCTCACTTAACAAAATATCTTAAGACATATATCCATGTCTATATGTAAGAATCTCCCTATCAGTTGCCGCATAATCCTCTACAGTACCCTTTAACCTCACATGGCCTTTCTGCAGAGTGTGTCTGAGCAGAGAACAAGCTCTCGGTGTCTCTTTTCATGAAGGCACTAATCCCATCATGGGGCTCTACACTTGTGACCTCATCTAACACTAATTACCTCCCGTAGGCCCCATCTCCAAATACTATCACATTGTGAGGTTAGGGCTTCAACATATGAATTTTGGGGAGGACAGCAATGTTCAGTCTATAACATATTAGACAGGGTAACAGATTTTTAAATAGTAAATGTTCATATGCATATCAGACTTTCTACAATTTATACTCCTACTGAAGTATGCAAGAGTGCCCAATCCTCTACATCTCATCATTAACATCAACAACATTAACTATTGTAACTCATTTTATTCTTTGATAATCTGATAGGTAAAACATTATATCTACCTTTGATTTGCATACATTTGATTATTCATGAAGATAAATATCTTTTCCTATGTTTATTGGTGGGCTATATTTCTTCATTTGGGAATTTCCACTGTATATCTTTTGTCTTTTTTTCTATACTAATATTTTTCTTACTGATTTCCATGAGTTCTTTATACATTAGAGGTGTTAACACTTGTCTGTCAATACTCATCCACATCATACTTTCCCATGGCAATCAGACTTGACCTTTATGATACTCATTACACTCAAAGGTATTTGTTCAGTGTGGGTTCCTCATTCACTGGATCACAAGCTCCATGAGGTCAGGCATGCACTTGTCCTTTTTTTTTTTAAGATTTTATTTATTTATTTGACAGAGAGAGGCACAGTCAGAGAGGGAACACAAGCAGGGGCCATGGGAGAGGGAGAAGCAGGCCTCCCACTGAGCAGGGAGCCCTACACGGGGCTCAGTCCCAGAACCCTGGGATCATGACCCAAGCTGAAGGCAGACACCCAACGACTGAGCCACCCAGGCACCCCAGACATGCACTTGTCTTATTCAGTGTTCTGTTCCCAGCTCCGACTACAGTGTCTGGCCCATACTTGAATAAATAGCTTCAAAAGTGTTGAATAAATTTGTTTTCTTTTTCTTTTAACTTTATTGATGGTGTCTTTGGCCATACAATTTTTTAACTTTTATAATTAAATTCATTTATTTTTTTGCTCTCAAGTTCATACCATGCATAGAAAGGCTTTTACTCTCCAACGATTTAAGATATTTTCCTGCATTTCTTCTATTATATTTATAGTCTTAATTTTTGCAATAAATCTTTCATCTGCAAATTATTTTTATGTGTGTTTGAGGTAGATATGCAATTTTATTTTTCTCCAAATAAACACCCTACTATTTATTGAATGATCTACCTCTTTACCACCAATGTGAAAGCAATCTTTATCATGTTCTATGTAGGACACATGTATATATTTTATATGTATGTTTTGTTATGTGAAAGGAAAAAAATCTCTATTTTTCTTCTTTAAAGCTTTTTTTCTTTCTTTTTTTTTTTCCTGGTCTCATGCAAGGATATCTCTAGGTAAATATAGTGTCAATTTGCCAAGTCTCTGTTAAGCGCAGTTATTCCCTAAAGAGAAAGCCACTGAGCAGGGTGTTGGATCAGGAAAAATAATCTTCCAATCTGGCTTCCTTCACTAGCTCTCCAACGTTGAGATGCACAGCTTTGAAAGATCCATAATCATACCTGTCTGACCTGCTTCACAGAGTTACTGTGAGACGAGAGGGTGCAAATTGGTCTGTGTATTAAAAGTGCTCTAAAAATTAGATGTTCCTGAGAAGTGAGAATTATTTGTATTCTCTATTATTGACAAGTGTCCAGCGATTTCATCTTGAAAAGACTTTACTCGAACGGACTGAAACTAGATGAGTAACATTCTGTGGTAAATGGTGGCAAATCAGTGAAAACATCTTCCTGTTTTTAGTCCAACTTGTATTCTGAACTGCCAGTGGGGAAGTCATCCTACAAAATGAATCAAAGACTGAAGGCCTCTTGTCTAGTTTTGTGCCTTTGTCCTCTTGGTCCAGGACCATGTCTGTCACAAGTCAACATAATCCCGCAGCCCTTCATTCTCGGGCAGGGTCCCGGGGAGACCCGAGAAGCCCCCGCGCGCTTCTCCAGAGGGCAGTGGGATGGCTTGGGTAAATGTGTTTTGAGAACTCTTTATTAGTTTCCTGAGGCTGTGGTAAAAATTACCACAAACCGGGTGACTTCAAACAACAGAAATTTATTCTTTCACAGTTCCGGATGCCAGAAAAGTCTGAAATCTAGGTGTCAGCAGGGCTGCACTCCCTCTGGAGGATCCAGGGGAGAACCCTTCCTTGGCTCCACCAGCTTCTGGTAGCAGTTGGCATTTTTTGACTTGCAGCTGCGTCATTCCAGTCTCAGCCTCTGACGTCACCTTGCCTCTTCTTCATTGTGTTTTCTATTCTGGCTCTTATTAAGGGTACTTGTCATTAGATTTAGGGCCCACCCGGATAATCCAGGATGATCTCATCTCCAGGTCTTTAATTGAATTATATCTGCAAAGGCCCCTTTCCCAAATAAGGTAACATGTTCAGGTTCCTGGGATAAGGACACAGATCTTTCTGGGAGCCACCATTCAACCCACCTCAAATGCCTTGTATCATAAGAGGAGGTAAACGCAAAGCAAGCTCAGAACATGCAGTACT